GCTTAACCGACTGAGCCACCCAGACTGTCCAGATTATACTCAATTTAAAATAATCTTATTTTTCAGAATTTGGGGACACCCACCATTTAAGACATACCGAAATCTCAAAACCTTTCTGGGGAAATTGTTGCTTGGGATTAACCTGTATTGCCTGGTCCCCACGATCCGTACACTTTCCGCCACCATCCCAGCCGTCTTGCTGTGCACTTACAACACCCCTCACCACACTCTTATTGTAGATCTTTACAGCTCAGCGTGGATAGGCTTCAGAAGGGAGGGCGGCATGCTTGCCAGGAGTATTCATTCGCCTTTGAAGCATTATGTCTTGCGACAGGATGAAAGGCTCTTAAGAGATTTTTAGGCCTCAACAGATAAATGAGGGTAGTATGATTTCAGAGAAGTATGCCACGCTGGGCCAGAAGCTGTGTCAGGCTGACTCCACTTCTCCAAAACCACAGACATGGACCGAAACAACAGAGGGAACTCAGAGAAGCAGAGACGTTGTGATTTGCTCAAGGTCACCGAGGTATTTAATGGCCTGACCTGTGGAGCAACAGAAGTCGCCTCTCCCAGATGACCCTGTCGCAGTCAGGCTGAATGAGGTCCCGGTGCCCGTCACTCCCCTGAGCAAGGATGGGCTTCCTTGGGTTCCGAGTGGTCATGTACATGCTACTATCTCCTCTTAGAAGCTGTCCCTTCGTCTCAGACGCTCAAGGGCTGCCCCACCCCATTCTCTCAGAGCCCCCCAAGTGTGTGGAACCACCTGGACTCAGGTCCGCTTCCTCACAGGCCCGGAAGATCCGTGAGGCCGAGGCGCCCCGGCACGGGGCCCACATCCAGGCGCTGCTACCAAGTGCTGAGGGGAACATGCAAAAGGGGGCAGGCCCACTGACTGACCAGCATTTTCTCCCTGCAGGTCATCCCCTTCTCCGGGAAAATCCAGGGGGGTCTCCAGGACGGACTTAAGATCACTGTCAATGGGACCGTTCTCTACTGCAATGGAACCAGGTACCGGGAACTGTTTCTTCTCTCCAGACTCAGCCCTTAGCCAACCATGGCGTCCGTCAGCTCACCCAATGCCCTCTGAGCCATCTGCGCCTGGCCCAGGGGATCCCGGGTGGTCTGCACGACCCCACTGCCATCTGCCGGGAGCGTCTGGCATAAACAGAGATGCCCCACAGACTTAGGGAGAGCAGGTGCTCACCGTCTAAGGAGTGGCGGGGGCCAGCCCAGAGGCAGATAATTACGCTCTGGGATTGAGCTTTCTACACTGTAACCCAGAGTCGCAAAAGTCTTATTACTTCCTTCATTTCTCATAACTGCAGAGCCCTCACTGCGTTGATCTAGAACGATTTCAAACTTGTCATCAAATGCATTTTGGTCTCTTTCAGTTTTGAGGTCTTTTCTGGGAAATACTAAGTCCATTCAAAATACAAACACCCTTTTCCTACCCGCCCACCCCCCCCACGCCTCCTTCCCAGGGGGGAGTTTCTGGGAACAGGGAAGAGCTTGCAATCTCCTCAGAGGCTGGAGGCCCTTCAGAAGCTCGTGCAGCCTTGGCTGACTTCTGCAGCTGTGCAGATGGCGTGGGGGAGCGGGGGTGTCGCCCAGTTTGTGGGGGTCTGCGTCCATGGGGGCTGCCTGCTGAAGTCCACGGTGCCCACGAAAGCCCCTCTGGACACGTGGTCCTCTCTCAGAAGCCTTTCTGCCTCAATCCCAGATGTCTCTTGCCCCCGGTGGTCCTCTCTCTCATCACCTCGCAGGGCCCTGGGACCTCCTGGGTCCTTTCACACCGCTCCCAGGCCCAGCCCTACCTCAGTTCAGCACTTCTCCATCACGGCTTTCCCTGCCAGGTGGCCACACTGACCATGGGACTTCTCCGAGAGCCCCGAGTGCCCCCAGGAGACCCAAAGGGAAGCAAGGCACCAGGATCCCCCTGAACCCTGCCGGCAGGGGACTCTGGGATCTCCCCTCTGAACTTCCCTCCTTTCTCCCTCTCCCTCTGCCTGCCCCTCCTCCAGCACCAGGATGGCTTTCTACTCCCATCCTGTCCCCCCACCCACCCCTTCCTGCAAAGCTTCTGCACTCATCCTTTCCCAGGGCAGGATTTTTCTAAGGACTCTAGGAATTAAGCTGGAGGACCACAGAGGGGAAAATGCACCCAGAGACATTTCAGAAAAATATTCTCCATTTTAAGAGGAATACAGACTTAGATTTGCTGCTTCCAGAGTCCCTGGGAGCCTCCTTTCCCAGAGGGAGGGCTGGCTGGGCTCAGGGCTGCGGCAGTTTCCTATGGGTCTTGCTGGCTGAGGGTTCTCGGAACAACCTGGTGTTGAGGACGACATCCAGAACTCACGCTCCTCCAGCAAGAAATCAAGTGGGCTCTGCAGGAATTGAACAAAATGTGTCTCAAGGGCTGCCTCTGGGCTTGGTGCAGGGCCTGGCCCTGTGGGGGCTGTGGATGACAGGAGAGCACTGTGGTCAGCTGGGGAGAGCCGAGCGAGCCCGAGAAGCAGGTGGCGAACCAGGCTCAAGGGCGCTGAGTTCAGGGAAGGCTGGGGTAGACAGAGGTGCCTCAGAGGAGAACCTCAGACTGGAACTTGGTTTTAGGACCTGAGGGAGCTCTGTCTGGGAAAAGGCAGAACAAATGTTTATTGTGCCCCTTTTGTGAGCCAGGCCTTTTGGAAGGTTTTTTGTTTTAATTCCTCACCTTAGAACCATAGCTGTACCCAAAGGCGGTTTCAATGGTGAGGGGCTTCCTCCGAGGACAGAGACAGGAACGGACATTTACTCGGGTGGGGGCTTCCTGAGCACCCCCTCACGAAGCATCTGCAACGGAAGGAAGTCACTCAGCTCCCAGGCTATGGTGTGTGGTTCAGGATCATTGCAAATGACAAGCAGTGTAGAGCTGGGGTCCGGGTCCAGGCCTGCTGACTTCAGGGCCACCACTCCGCACGTCGTGTGTGGGACACACACCAATCACCAGTGAGAGACAGATGTACATACTGAAAGCTCTCGCAGCCGGGGAGCTACCATTTATTCGATGCTTCTCTGTTAGTACCTAGCTCTGTAGGCATATTCCATCAATTCCAGATGTTCTTTAAATTTATTTGCTTCTTTCCCAGTTGAGCCGATGGGGACTGGCTCTCACTTCCAGGCACATTTCTTGACTTACCTCTGATACAAATTTGAATCCATGTTCAAGCCTCGTGCTTCTTGTTGCTAGCGTCAACATTTTTCTTTACCCGTTTTCTATGTGTTTTTAGAAAACCACGCTGTAAGGGTAAAATGCAATCATTGCACAAGAACACACGAAGTGCAAATTAGGTGAATAGAAAGGATAGCCGCAAGCTAAGGATGGGTCCAGACCTGCCGTGCAAGTTCACAGACGGAAACAGTCAAAGGCACGAGGCTCCCTCTTCAGCTCGGCCGGCAGTCAACCAGGCTGCAGAATTACCTACCATCTGATTGCCCTCTGCCTAGGTTTGCCGTGAACTTTCACAGTGGCTACAGTGACAGTGACATTGCCTTCCACTTCAACCCTCGGTTTGAGGAGGGTGGCTATGTGGTCTGCAACACGAAGCAGAACGGACGCTGGGGGCCAGAGGAGAGGAAGATGCATATGCCCTTCCAGATGGGGAATCCATTTGAGCTCTGCTTCCTGGTGGACAGCTGGGATTTCAAGGTGAGCAGCAACTCTCTGCAGCCCTCTTCCCGCTGCCTACCTCCCAGCCCCATCGGGTGTGGTGGTGACTAGTCTGTATAAATCACATGAGCGTTTTTGTTTTTTTTCTTTAAGATTGTATGTATGTATGTATGTATTGAGAGAGTGCAAGGAGGGGCAGAGGGAGAGAGAGAATCTCCAGCTGACTCCATGGGGATCACAGAGCCTGATGCGGGGCTTGATCTCATGACGCTGAGATCATGACCTGAGCTGAAATCAAGAGTTAGACGCTTAACCGACTGAGCCACCCAGGCGCCTCCATAAAGCACATGAGCCTTTAAGTAATCACATGTGCAATGCCATTAGACAGAGAGCAGGACCTTTCCCTTGTAGGGGCGCTCTGGTGGCTGCAGTCTCCTCACACTCCTTCCCATGCATCTATGGGCTCACCTGCTGCTTCTTTTACTCAGGAAGTAAGAACTAGATACATCACCCTGGTGCTTTTTGGCCCTGCAGGTCTTTAAAATTCTAGTTAATTCCATTCCTCTGCTGTAACCATTCCTCCACCGCAGGTCCCTGATAACATTGGTTTTTTGGTAATATTGTTGCAGTCTTTATCCAGGTTCTACTAATGGCTTAGTGTTACATGGTGTTGCAAATTGCGTTAGTAAGCAGAATAGTGTCTCTGGGCTTGGGAGACAGATGGGGGTGAGTATCCCCGTGTCTGTCCTTTTCTGTGTGAGCATGGATGTGCCCAGCCCCTCAATGTACAACCCAGGGTCGCCTCTCCTCTGCCCCCCCTGAACATGTTTATGCATTTTAAAGAACACCTCCGGGGAGCTAAGATTAGAAAGATCAACTGACTGCAATAAACAAACAACTCTAAGAACCAAAAAGCAAGTAGAGACTGGGATCAGATGCACTTGGATCATAGGCCATGCTTACAACTGGCACAGCTCTGAAGGCTGGTGCCCCTACCCCCCAGGGGACAGATGTGAAAACCAGACACAGGGCTTAATTCCGGGGAGCAGGGGCTCACGTGCCTCCCCTCTCCTGGAATGTGCACTCGTCTTGGCAGGTGATGGTGAATGGGAACCATTTTATGCAGTACTCACACCGCGTGCCCTTCCACCGCGTGGACACCCTCTCCATCACCGGGGCTGTGCAGCTGTCCTACATCGGCTTCCAGGTCAGATTGTCCACCTGGCACCTGTCTCAGGGGCTGAGTGCAGGGCCCCGTCTAGCTGCACCTGGGCCCCATTGGGTGGGCCCGATGGTAGCAGCCAATCTCCTCCCCAGGTGACTCTGACGACACCCCTCCAACTCCCTTGTCCTGTCCTTCTGTGTTCCTGTCTTTGTCCAGAACACTTGTCTCAGTCTCCCGGACTCCCAGGCCACTCCTCTCTGTCACTCTCTACTTCCACCATGCTTAGGAAGCCATGTGGCTCCAGAAAGAACTTGGGAATCAAACTGAATCTAGCTCAGCTCTGCGCATTGTCATCAGCTGTGGGATCTTAGGCAAGCAACTTTGCCTCCCCTGGCCTCAGTTTCCCCATCTGAGAAAGGGGCATAGTCACTGCTGCCCCATGAGTTATAGTGTGAATTCAAGGAGGTAATACATGTCAGAGGTCACGACACGGCCTGCACGGGCCCATGCTAGGCTCTATTTGACCCTCTCTGTGTTTTAACATTTTTGAATGTGTTGCCAGCATCTAAAAGGTCAGGAGAAGAAGTTTTGCATTCTGGAGATGGATGGTGATACTGGCTGTGCAACAGTTGTGAATGTACCTCATGCATCTGAGCCGTCCACTGAAAATTGGTTGAGATAGTAAATCTTAGGTGTATTTTACCACAATTAAAAAAAAAAAGGTCAGGTGGTATCACATGGAAATCTGGATTTCTGGCTTTTTTGAAAACTGGGAGGATAGGGGTATGCTGGGCCCACGTTCCCACAGGGCCCCAGGAGGTTGGGTTGGAGCTGCTGTTACCACTTCCGGGCTTTGTGCTCCCGGAGGTGAGAAAAGCACACAGTAGGCCCACAACTGATACTCCTCTCTTTTTTCTCCTAATCTCTCATATTCCCTCCCGACCAACTTTCTCCCCTATGGGCCTGGGGGAGAGAGCAGGGCAGGGGAGAGGAGAGGGTGGGGAAGGGGACAGAGATGGAGGGGAGTGGGGGGTGGGGTGGGGAGAGAACTCGCTGGCCTGCTGTCCCTCACTGGAGCATAATCCTCCCCTCTGTCCCTCCACGTGATCCTGAACACGTGGTACCTCCCCTTCCTGACTGGCTTCCTCCCTCTGGCTCAGGCCCCTGCCTTTCCGCGCTTCCTTGGCTTCATTAACCCTTCTCTTCATGCCCTGGTGCCTTTTGTTTTAACAGAACACCCGAGTAAACCTTACCCAGCCTGCCTTCTCCACGGTTCAGTTCTCCCAGACTGCCTGTTTCCCACCCAAGCCCAAAGGGCGAAAGCCAAAAGTGAGTTCAATGTGGAGGTCTTGGAGGTTGAGCATCTCAGCAGAAAGGACAGAGGGTCCAAGAGGCTGGTTCCAGCAGGCAGGCCTCATCATACCCACCCAAAACTTCCCTATCTCCACCACACCACCTGGCCCGAGCTGGGAACCTGGGAGTCTGCCTTGGTTCTTCCTTCCCCTCCTTAGTCTCCCTGCAGTGCTCCCACACTCCTTCCTCCTGAAGCCACAGCCTTCTTTGGGCCAAGCCATCTGACCCCTGACTACAACAACCCTGGTCTAGTTCCCCGCTTACCCCACCCACAGGAGGGTGACCCTCCTTTACCCAAATCTGATCGCATCCTCTCCCTGCTTAAACATCCCAAAGGTTCCAAGTCCTTCTAAATAAAGCCCCGATTCCCCAGCAGGAGGTGTAGGACCCTGCCCAGCCCCCCAGTCTTGCCCCAGCCCACCTCCTGGCCACACCCCCTATCCAGAATGGTCAGGCAGCCTCCACTGCTCACTGGAGGCTTTCTGGGGCCACCATGCTTTTTGCACCTGCAGGCCCAGTGCTGACAGCACCCTGCGCCACCCCCGCCCCCTACAGCCGACCTTTACCAGCCCTTCAATGCTCTGCTTAAATGTCACTCTTTGGGAGCATCTTCCTGTACTTACATGTTTGTCCTTGTCACTCCACCCTCCCACCCCCCGCCCTATACCCACAAGCCCCTCGTGGACAGGGATTGTGGCTTGTTTGTTTGCGGATCCCCAGCACTTTGCACAGTGCCTGAGCAAGCAGTAGGGGCCCCAGGAATGTGGAGTGTGGCTTGCACAGCCAACAGAATGGGAGACCGGCCAGGGCAAGAACAATCTGCGGCGTGAGGACAGGGTCTAGGACAGGAAGGGAAGCAGGGTCTGGCCCTTCCTTTGGCCACTGGAGCAGTGGGGGCTAAAGGAAGGGGTGCCTCTCTACCCAGGCTTTCTGTGGTCTCTCGAGGCCCTGACAGGGCCTGTGCCTCCTGCCATGCTGACTTCAGGACCGGGCAAGCTCCAGGGAGTCTTTGCAGGGCAGCCGGACTTTGGCTCTGGCCTGGGGAGGACAGGGTATGGTAGATAGAATCAGCCAGAACTGGGTAGCATTTTGGATTTTATCCCTTGCTACCCGGAGGGGCTTGGGCAAGCTGATTAGCCTTTCTGAGCCTCGTTGCCTCGCTAGTGAAACCGGAGCTGAGGATGCGTCCCTTGTAAATGTTCGGAAGCCAGAGCCTGGCACACAGTAGGCCTTCACTAAATGCTTCACCTTACGAATGAAATATGGCACCGAAGTAATGGTTTTGCCTCTGGGAGCTAAGGGGCGCTATATGGCCTCTCCCTCTGGAGGAGCCAATGAGGAAGTCCCCGCTCCTCCAACCCTGACAGTGACCCTGCCCCCAAGCCTGGTGTGTCCCTGGGACGGGGGTGGGGCCGATAGTCTGGGCACCACAGGCTTGGGAGCAGGAAGGAGGGAAGCATGAGTCTAGGGAGGACTTTTTTTTTTTTTTTTTAGATTTTATTTATTTGACAGAGACAGAGACACAGCGAGAGGGAACACAAGCAGGGGGAGTGGGAGGGGGAGAAGCAGGCTTCCCGCGGAGCAGGGAGCCCGATGCGGGGCTCGATCCCAGGACCCTGGGATCATGACCTGAGCTGAAGGCAGACGCTTAACGACTGAGCCACCCAGGCGCCCCTGGGGAGGCCTTTCTTACGACAGCCTCTGTCAGTGTCTCCCCTGCACGTAACACTAACGTTAACTGCTGTTTTGATCTTCTCATCCCCTTCAGTCTACAGGCATTTGGCCAGTCAACTCGGCTCCCATTGTAAGTCTCTTGAGTTCTCCTGGGATCTTCTTCATTTTGCTTCTTCCTGTGGGTTAGGAGGAGGCAGGGCTGGGCACCGGGCCTCTCCCATGGGGGGTGAGGCCAAGGCCAACCCTGGCCATCTGCCTGGTGGTGGGAGGAAGTGGGGCTGGAAGGTTGGCTGGCCCTCGTGGATTGGGAAACAGCCTGAACTGCCGCTCTCTGCTCAAGCCCCCTGCCCTTCTGTGAGCAGCTACAGGAGACGGAGGCCCCCACACTCACTCCTTCCTCCTGGAAAATGAGGCTGTGCTAGACAAAATCCCCTGAGAAGAAAGATGGGCCACAGGCCACAAGGGCAGCCCTATTTCTTCTCCAAGTAGAAGAAACCTTTGCCCCTACCTCATCCCCTTGAGGGAAGAAACACCTCTACCCGCCAGTTTTGGGGGGCTTGGTGGGTGGGGAGTGGTTGGGCTTGTTACATGCTCAAGATGGCTGCATCTCACAAAGTGTGTGTTAAGTGGTGCCCTCTGGTGGCAGATGGTGGTCTTCACTCTGGTGAGAACCAGTTCAAATCTGGGTTTTCTTTCTTGCAGACTCAAACTGTCATCCACACCGTTCAGAGCACCCCTGGACAGCTGTTCCCTGTAAGTCTGAAAGCTCTGGTTGGGTCACAGCCTCACCACGTCCCCCTTCCCCAAGGACTGAACTCAGTAGTCCCAGAGACAGGAAGAAAGCAGTGTAGCAAGGAGGATGGGGGTGTTTGGGGTTGGGCCCTCTGCTCAAAAGACATGTGAGTAAAATTCCTCTTGGGCCAACAGAGATTCTAGGTCAGGGTGGATTTACCCAGTGGCTTAAGAAGCAGGTCCCCTTAGGGACCAGCAAGAAAATGGGTTCTCTGTTACTGAAAGGGGAGTGCAGTGGTTCCAGCATCTGGATTTGAGGCCCTGTGTCCTGAGGACAAGCCCTGGGATGTCACTGCTGGTCACAGGCTTCCACTGTGAATCAGACGGGAGCACTGGAGTTAGGGAGGCTGCCCGTGGAAGGGTTGAAAGGCAGGCAGGTGGCCATGATGAGGTCAGGGAGCATGGCAAGAAGTTCCACCAAGGCTGACTTGGGAAGGAAGGTGAAGGGGTGAAGCCAAGGGCCTCATAGTGGGGCATCCCCTCTAGGATGTGGAGGGGTCCGCATGGGTATGCACTCCCAAACTAAACTTCCTGGTCTCTTTCAACAGAATCCTATCACCCCACCTATGGTGTACCCCACCACAACCTATGTAAGTGGTTTCTCTGGGAGGGGCAGAGGCCTTGTCTGCATCGGGCCGAGTGGGAGGTGGTGGGCAGCTTACAACATCAGGGCAGTCCTTTAGTAAGCCAAAGTTCTGGAAACATCCAAGGGAATCAAAAGGCTGTTGAAGGAAGCTGTCACCTTTAAAATTGTCCCTTCACCATGAGCCTATTAGAGGGCCTTCCCTCTCAGCCCAATTATCCTTTTGTATCCGGCCCAAGTTCTTTTCATGATAGCGGAAGCCCGTTACTTTGAGAAATGCTGGAAAGTTTTCCTTTGGCATTTACTGAGCCAAATAATGATATCATGGAGTTCTTTCTTTTCTTTTAAGATTTTATTTATTTATTTGATAGAGAGAGCACCAGCGCACAAGTAGGCAAAACAGCACGCAGAGGGAGCGGGAGAAGCAGGCTCCCCGCTGAGCAGAGAGCCTGACATGGGGCTCGATCCCAGGATCTTGAGATTGACCTGAGCCAAAGGCAGATGCTCAACCCACTGAGTCACCCAGACACCCCTGTTTCTTGAAAATATATTGCTCACAGGCATGGCTGTCAAACTCAGTTGACAGTCCAAATTCATGGAAATTGGCACAAAGCTCCACCCCACACAGCTGACCTGCCCCTCTCCTCCCCTCCTCCCCCCGCCGCCACCGACAGCCGATGCCTTTCTTCACCTCCATCCTGGGTGGGCTGTACCCCTCCAAGAGCATCTTCGTGTCGGGCACCATCCTGCCCACTGCCCAGAGGTAAGCCACGGCTCTCAAGAAGGTCCTTCTGGTCACCCCCTGGCTCTGGGCAGGCTGGGAACGGTAGGGACTCAGAACTCAGGGGGCAGAGGAGGTCCATGTGAACTGCCCACCCCCAGGTTCCACATCAACCTGCGCTCCGGGAGTGACATTGCCTTCCACCTGAACCCCCGTTTTGATGAGAACGTCGTGGTCCGCAACACACAGATCAACAGCTCTTGGGGATCTGAGGAGCGAAGCCTGTCCCGAAAAATGCCTTTTGCCCGAGGCCAGAGCTTCTCGGTAAGGGGCCTCGGCCTGGAGCTCAGAGGGGTTCAAGGCGCAAACAGAACAGGGTGGGCGGGGATGGTGGAGGGCGTCAGGGGGCCCCTCGAACCATACAGGAGCTGACGCCTCTGGGGCGAGGGCTGGGCTCAGAAGAGAAAGTACCCCCAGATTGCTGCTCTCCTTGTCCTCCCGCTGTCCCACATAAGGTGGGTGGTGGCACCCGCTGCTCGCACATGAGGGGACAAACTCACCAGTGCAGGTCACCGGCCTGAGGTCACACCGCCCATAAGTGCCAGGTGGGCCCCAAGCATGAGCTGTCATTCATTTGTTCACTCACTCATTCATTCAACAGTCGTGGACAGATCCCTGGAAATAACAGCAGGTCTGTGCAGAAAGCAAAACAGAATCATGGGATCGAGTGAGCTCTGGGGCAGGGGCCACACTGCCTTAGATGGGGACATCAGTCAGAGGAGGCCACAACGTCAGCCAAGACCTAACGGACAGAAGCATCCCGCCCTGCAAAGACCCGAGGGGGGCATTCCTGGGGGGCAGCGGGGAGGGCAGCTATCATTGCGAAAGCAGAGAGTCACGGGCAGGGCCTGTCTAGGGACAGGGAGGCCGGGCTTCCGAGTAGGACAGAGAGGTGTGGGTGGTGTGGCTGGAGGCCCGACCCGACAGAGCAGGTTTCTCAACCCTGACTGCCCGTGCAAATCACCTGAGGAGCTTCAAAAAGAAAAGGCGTTATCTGGCCCCACCCGTGCCCGAACATCCGTATTTTCACATATGCCTTAATACTCCTCACCCAGCACTGACTGATGGAGGGCTTGAGAGCCACGGAAAGAAGTTTGGGTTTCAGTGCTGTGTGCTGGTGTGTTTCAAGCCGGAGAGGAGTAGACTTTGATTCACAGAGAGCTGTGTGACTTTAAGCAAGTGACTTAATGGCTCTGTGCCTCAGTTTTCTCATCTGAAAAATGGGGCTAATAAGAATCTCCATCTCATCGAGGTGTAAGGATGAAATGAAATAATGTCTGTGACAGGCTGAGGACAGGGCCCGGGGCACAGTAAGTGATGATGTCTTAGCAGACGTGGTCCCCTTGCCTCACAGAGAGCGTGTGGTGCGGGAAGGACAAGTCAGGAGGCTGCCCTGTGGGAATGCAGGCGTGGAACTCTGCTGTGTGCCGGCCACTGGGGACATGGATGGCCTAGGCCAGTGTTCCTGCCCCTAGAAGCTCGGGACATGGTGGGAGACTGAGGATCAAGTGGGGGGCACCTGACGAGGAGGGCTCAGGGTGGGCAGGGGGAAGGCAGGGGAGGCTTGCTGGTCAGGGAGAGGTTGGCGTGAGGCTTGCTTAAATCATGCTTGAGGAAGACAGGTAGGTGGAGGGAGACACGAGCTTGCATTTAGGTCGGGGGACTTCCTGAGGGGAGTGCAAACGACGTGGCCTCTGTTCAGGTGTGGATCACGTGTGAAGGCTACGGCTTCAAGGTAGCCGTGGATGGTCAGCACCTGCTGGAATACTGCCACCGCCTGAAGAACCTGCCCGCCATCAACAACCTGGAAGTGGGGGGCGACGTCCAACTGACCCACGTGCAGACCTAGCTGGGCTCCCTGGCCCTGGGGATGAGGGTGGGCCCTGTTGCCTACTGCCTCTGCTCCTCACCTCACTCTTCCCTGTCCCTCTCCCTGTCCCTGCCCCAGGCTTTCCCAGCCTGCTGAGGAGCTGGGGCTTTTCTGGAGAGAAAGTGTGTTTGTCTGCCTCTGCTTCGGGCTACGGCCAGGCTGGCGTCGAGGAGGCACCTGGTGGGGGCTGCCTTCCTCAGTCAGGGCGGCGCCCGGGGCTGCGGCTGCCCAAATCCTACCATCTGAGGGGAGGCCGGTGGTCCCTGCGGGCTAAGCCCCATGTCCAGTCCCCTTGGCAGAAAGGGAGGGTCCTGGGCCTTCCCAAGCTCCCAGACCAGGCCTACACCCCGTCTGCCTCTCAGCCACATTCCCACCCCTGCCAATCCTCTCCATCTCAGCCCCTGGAGGCGGCCTCCCGGGCCCTACCTTCAACCTTTCCTTACACCCGGGTCCCACCCTCCCCACTCCAGGAAAGATAGCCTGATACTCCACTGGTCTCCACCAACTAACAGCACCTTTCTCAACAGGGGGCTCTTCTCTTTGCTCTTTCAAAGAAAGTCAAATGCTTGTTGGCACATACGTATGGGGTCATTGTGGTTATCAAATGGGTTTGGAACATTTCGGAGTCTCTGGAACTGGGGAGGTTCTGGGTGAGGGCAGGGGGGCAGAGAGCATGGACTCACTTTGATGGGGGGGTCCTGACATCCACACCTGCTCCCAGGGGATTCCCCACAAACCCCCACATGGGTGGGAGAAAGCAGGTTGGGCTCGGGCCTCCTGGGCGGGCATCTATGATGCACGAAGCTTGGTAACAGGTGAACCCAGCAAATAGCCTCACACTTCTGAGACGGGCCGAGGGCTGGGCCAGAAGGCCAAATGGCAGGGCTGGCTTGTCAGAACCCTGTGTCCCAGTGGGAGGAGGTGGCAGGCGTGGTGTCAGGAGAAGCTGACTCAAGCTGACACCTGTCTGTGTTGTTCCACTGCGGGTCCTGGTGTTTGGGGTTAAGGTGTGGTGAGGAGAGTGACTCAGCATGTGGGCTTCTACCAGCCACTGGGGCAGTGCAGGGGGGCCGGTTCTGTGTCCTCATGATGCCAACCCATCCTGCTACCTCCACCAAGAATCCAGTGCCTCCGGAACATCTGAGCATCGTCCTGGGACCAGCAGCACCTGGGAGCCTGTCAGGAAGGCAGAATCCCGGGCCCTGCCGCAGGCCTCCAGAATCAGTCTGCCTGGTAACAAGATCCCAGGTGGTTTGTGTGCATCTATCTCAGAGGGGAGAGACACTGGCCTGGGTGACCGTGTTCTTGAGCACATTGTTCAGATGCATTGCCGGGCACTGGCGACCGGTATGCCTCTTTCGCCCCCCTTACCCCATCTGCGTAGGGGAGAGGTGGGCCAGAGAGCCAATGAAACAGAGGCCAAACCCAAGCTGGGAGCCTGATTTTCTCAGACCCCACTTAGCCCCTGGCTGCGTTCCTTCCTTACTCTAAGAGAAGGAAACATGGCTCAGCCCCTTAAAAGTCTTCCCCATGGAAGATATGTGTCCTTCACTCACTGCCACGTCTTTGACACAGTCCAACCCCACCTGCTTTGTCACCCAGGTGCCAAATTATTATTGGCCCAACTCTCATGAAACAGGCAGTCCCAGAGCCAAACATGGCAACTTTCTACAAGGGGATTGTTGGTCAAGGCCTTCCCTGAGGAGCTGGCATACCAGGCAGTATGAATTGCGCCCCGTGTGGGGCGAGCCCAGTGTGAGGTGTGCCCCCTTTGAGGTGCGCCCCCGGTGAAGTGAACCCCGTGTGAGGTGAGCCTCGTGTGAGGTGAGACCCGAGTGAGGTGTGCCGCTGTGTTAGGTGTGCCCCGTGTGAGGTGAGCCCCATGTGAGGTGAGCCCCCTGTGGGTGTTCCCTTGTGAGGTGCGCCCCCTGTGAGGTGAGTCCCGTTTGAGGTGCGCCCTGTATGAGATGAGCCCCGGGTGAGGTGTGCCCCGTGTGAGCTGTGCCCCCCGAGAAGTGAGCCCCGTGTGAGGTGCGCCCCCATGAGGTGAGCCCCGTGTGAGGTGAGCCCCAGGTGAGGTGCACCCCCGGAGGTGAGCCCCTTGTGAAGTGAGCCCCATGTGAGGTCCGCTTAGTGTGGGGTGCGCCTCCTGTGAGGTGAGCCCTGTGTGAGGTGCACCCTGTGTGAGGTCCGCCCCCGGTGAGGTGAGCTCCGTTTGAAGTGAGCCCTGAGTGATGTGAGCTCCGTGTGAGGTGCGCTCCCATGAGGTGAGCCCCGTGTGAGGTGAGCCCCAGGTGAGGTGCGCCCCATGTGAGGAGTACCCCAGGTGAGGTGAACCCTGTGTGACGTGCGCCCTCTGTGAAGTGAGCCCTGTGTGACGTGCGCCCCAGGTGAAGTGCGCCCCCATGAGGTGTACCCCCTTGAGGTGAGCCCCGTGTGAAGTGAGCCCCGTGTGAGGTCAGCGCCATGTGAGGAGCGCCCCAGGTGAGGTGAGCCCGGGGTGAGGTGCACCCCCTGTGAAGTGAGCCCCGTGTGAGGTGCACCTCCCATGAGGTGTACCACCTGTGATGTGAGCCTTCTGTGAGGTGCGCCCCGGTGAGTGAGCCCCGTGTGAGGTGAACCCCCTGAGAGGTGCTCAGTGTGAGGTGCGCCCCCTGTGATGTGAGCCCCATATGAGGTGAGCCCTGTGTGAGGTGCGCTCCATGTGAAATGTGCCCCGTCCGAGGTGAGCCCCCTGTGAGATGAGCCCCTTAGGTGTTAGGTGAGCCCTGTGTGAGGTCAACCCTTATTAGGTCCGTTCAGTGTGAGGTGCGCACCTTGTGAGGTGCTCCCCGTGTGAGGTGTGCCCCAGTGAGGTGAGCTCCCTTTGAGGTGAGGCCCCTGTGAGGTGCGCCCCCCATGAGGTGTACCGCCTGTGATGTGAGCCTTCTGTGAGGCGCGCCCCGGTGAGTGAGCCCCGTGTGAGGTGCGCCCCCCGTGAGGTGTACCCCCGGTGAGGTGGGCCCCGTGTGATGTGAGCTCCGTGTGAGGTCAACGCCTGTGTGGTCCTTTCAGTGTGAGGTGCGCACCCTGTTTGGTGAGCTCCAGGTGAGGTGTGCCCCCCGTGGGGTATACCCCCTGTGAGATGAGTCCCACGTGAGGTGAGCCCCCTGTGAGGTGAGCCCTGGCTGAGGTGAGACCCCTGTGAGGTGAGTCCCGTGTGAGGTGAGCCTCGTGTGAGGTGCTCTCCGTGTGAGGTGCAACCCCTGTGAGGTGTGCCCCAGGTGAGGCGAGCCCTAGCTGAGGTGAGACCCCTGTGAGCTGAGTCCCGTGTGAGGTGCACCTCCGGAGGTGAGCCCCGTGTGAAGTGAGCCCCGTGTGAGGTGAACCCCTGTGTGGTCCGTTCAGTGTGAGGTGTGCCCCCTGTGATGTGAGGCCCGTGTGAGGAGCGCCCTGGGT